GGCTGGGTTTATGCTTTCAGGCTGCCCTGTCTGGTCTACCGTATCTAGGTCGCCCTGAGGGGCCTCCTAGTCACCAGGATATCCCCTCTTGCTGAGGCATCGAGCGGGAAGTATAGGTGGCATTTGCGAGAATCTTCTTGTGTAATGCTGTCTCAGGCTGTGCTCCCCTCACCTTAGAGGGTTGTATTTGAGCTTGCCTCTCCCGTTTGGCTCAGTACTTCCGGGTATCTGTGAACAGATGCTTGGAAAACTCTTAAATCCATACTATGGTAAGTGCACAGTTCTCCTCTCACGCACTTTCTAAAATCCCAGTTTTCCCAGAGCACCTGGAACCAGCAGCATCAGGCGAACTAGGCCCTTTCTCCGCCTCTCTGATGCGCTGAGTTTTCTGGCTAGCTTGCAGTACACTTACCCTTCTGATTTTTAACGATCGTGCTGTAGGTCGAGCCCCTCTCATTGAGAGCTGGGTGTTTGCTCCCTCAGCTAGAGATTTACTGCTAGCCATTCCAGTAGTATACCTTAGATCGAGTTGATGACTTCTCAAACATAGTGTTTTGGGATGCACCATTTCCATCTATGGGCTGCTCTTTCAGAGTACCACGAGGGCCCCTTAGAACGGTTTTTAAATCCATGTTATGGTAAGTGTGCACGTTAGTCTTTGTACACTTTCTAAAATCCACACTGTGGTAAGTTTGCATGCTAGTACCCTGCGTTCTTTTTAAAATCCTGAATGGTAAGAGCTATGCGCGGCAGCCTCATGCTCTTTCTTGAGTGGCGGTCAGGACGAGGCATTCCCCATAGCGACCCCTAGAGGACGCAGTGTCTCGTTCCCTACTCAGGGAACCATGGTTACATACGTAATCTGAGACGTTCTCCACAGCATTCAGACACTTCTGTGCTCCTGAAAATGTGCCTTTATAGTTATGTCTCAAAGCCTGAATAGATTTTGTTACACTTTTTTGTCACATTTAAGAAGATTAAGAGATTAATTAACACAAAAGACAATATTTTAAAGAATGCTTTAAAAGTTTTTTCCCATTTCCTCAGTGACTTTCATTGTAAATAAATTAATAGACAGTCAAAAGATATATATATATATATATATATATATACTGTATATATCTCTTTTGATTGTCTATTTATTTATTTATTTATTTACAATGAAAGTCACCTGAGGAAGTGGACAAAACATTTAAAGCATTCTTTAAAATATTGTCTTTTGTGTTTCACATTGGGAACGACATGATTAATTTATGACAGAATTTTTAGGAAAACTGTACCTTCAAGTTTTTCTAGACTGACCAAATGTTCATGCAGTCAAATTAGTATAGTGCTTACATCATAGACTATATACACTGCAAGCTATGCCATCATAGACATACAGTAGCTGGATGTTAATTAATCCTCTTTAGTATCAAATTGCAATAGAACTGACAAGGCTTGTGCAGAAAAACAGTTTCACTTCTGCAAACTCAGAATAGAACTAGCGTGTATTGTTGAACTTTGTAGAGGCAAGTCTATTGACACTTGAAATCACTTATGGCTTCAGAACTTTCCCTTTAATTTTCTCACTGAACTGCAGGTATGTGTCAACTCTTAAAAATAAAACAGCAAGATATTGATTTAAATTGCTATTGCAAAGAGTAAGATGTTCAGACTGGTCTTTAATTTTTTTTCAGGGGAGCTCAACATGTTTACAAATCTTTTTTTTTTTTTTCTTTTGGACAGACAAGAACAATAATTTTAACTGATTTTCTTTTCTTTTCTGTAAATCCTTTATAATTCTCAAGTAAGTTGTTACCACCAAATAACCGATAAGTAGTTGTTATTATATAACTGTTAAATTGGACGGATGTCTTTTTATATATAAGGTACTATAAGCAGTATGACATCAACTATCTTTATGAATATGATTTTGATATTTGATTTTTTTTTTTCTCATGGCAAAATTCAGTTTGTTTACTAAGTTCACAGTTGAAGTGCAGCATAACAAGTACAAAATGTGTGGTGGGAACAAACACTTTTTTTTTAGATTACTCTAAGGCCCTTGAAACTTTTGAGAAATGAGTAAACGTTTCACATGACAGATCTCAGAAAACCAAAGACAAACTGTTATGACAGCTTGATTCTTTGCTTCTGTTGAGCTTTCAAGGAAACATATTCTCAGCCAGATGCATGTTCTACACACTCTAATGTATAAAAAAATTAATTCTCTCTGAACTTGTGTTGAAGTTACTAATAAACTGCTCATACGAAGTGATTAAATACATATTTCATGCTTATAAATATGAGAATACCATATTTTTACACAAACAAGTCCAGTGCATAAAACAGCACAAAGTCAGCATAAACAATTTTATCTAAGTAATGTATTTGGCAGTTTTATAGTTACTATACATACTGTACTAGAGAACCTGTGGTGTGAGCTGTGAGATGTTAGAGATCTCTCTCTTTCTCCTACACACACACACACACACACAGGAAGAGGCATGTTCACACTTCAGAGACTTTAACGTTAGGAGGCCCAACTTAGGAAACACAGTGCAGTGTAACACAAAAAGCTTGTCCTCCATAACAGCGTCTCTACACATTTAATTTATCAACGCAGAAAAGACATCCAGGCAAAACCTAAACCTTCACATATGCACTGTTTTACCATTTCAATAAGATTCATTGTGTATCGGCATCTACCAACCTGCAATGTTGTTTGTGTGTATGGAAGAAGAGTTTTTTTTTTACCTAGCTTGCTGCTAACAGCACATGGAACATGTTTTTGTGACAGTGCGAACAACTGCAACCACATGATGATCAGTGGGTTTGATAAAATTAACATCCTTTCATTTTGTTTACATATAGCATGTCTCATTCTGAGAAACAAGCATGAGCAAGATTCATGAAACTTAAATATGTTTCCTTCGCATATTTCAAATTTGTTCCGACTTCTTGGTTAAACACCAAAATGTGAGTCAGCCATTTGTGTTAGTCTGTTTGACAAACATATATAGAGCAGTCAAAGGGACATTCACAGGAAATTGGTCATATATTTAGAGTAATGTACAGCACAGTTTTAAAATCCCCCACTTTTAAGATTATTAATACTTTCACCACTCATTGCTTTGATCACCTGTTGGATGGAAGACGACGGTCTTGATCCTTGATTTAGATAAGAGTGTGTGGGCTGTTTTGCTCTGTGTGAAACTGAATCAACATCTTCTTGGAATGATACAAGGATAGTGAGATGATAATGACAGTGGGAAAAAATAATTTTAACACATAGGGTGCATTCAGAAAATATTTAGCATACATTTTTGCTGTGTTGCAGCCATATGCTTAAATGCATTCAATTCATTATTGCTCTGATATGTATTTTCAGCTGTGAGGCCTTATATAGACATGAGTGTGCTTTTCCACATCATTTCAATTTATTGAATTTGCCACAGATGGACTCCAGTCAAAGTGAAGAAACGTATTCAAAGATGATTCAGAAAAATGGGATGCACCTGAGCTAAGAAAAACAAAGAGTCTGAATAACTAGCCTATATGATATTTCACTTGCTTCTTTTGATTTTTTTTTTTTTGATAAACCCTGAACCACGAAACCCTCACCCCAATGAAAGATTTTGTATCATTCTCAAAAGGTTGGACTACAGATTATATTATCACAAACCTTTACAGTATCAAACTATTGTAGATGAGCGCCATCTAGTGTGAAGTAAGTGTACTAACTAAGTA